AAGGAGGTGGGCGCTGCCGGGGCGGACAGACCAACACCTGTCCGCCGTCTTCGGGACCCGGCCCGGTGGCCCCTCCCCACCACACCCGCAGCAGCCCAGGCTGCTTGTCCAGCTCGCCCCTGGGCCTGAGCCTCCGTCTGGGCTGGCTCCCGAAGAGAGAGCGCTACAAGGAACCTGGAGTGTTTGGAGAAGCCGCGGGGGTGTGCTGGAAAGAATCCGGTCTTGGAATCCTACCTCTCTACGACTTACCAGCTTTGTGGTGGGGACAAGGTTCTTCACCTCTCTGAACTCATTTTACTAATCTGTAAAACGGGCCAAGTGCTAATCAAAACGAGCATCTCTCTGGGGTAAGCAGGCTGGCAAGCTCACCTAGCCTCGGTGACTTCCGCTCGACCAGACAGCCTCAAGACTGCTGCCCCTTGCCTTCCCCCGCCCACCTCCAGGTCCCGCGTTGCCTTGAGGCGCTGTGACAGATGGATGTGGAGATCATTTGCCAGTCCCGGGGGGTTGTGGTGACAGCCACCTTTTAGAGCTTGGGAGTGACTTGTCCGAAGACAGGATTCCCCAGACAGAGCCTGGCTGGATATCAGGTCTTTGGACTCCCATTCCAGTGCTCTTTGCAGACTCATCACCTCAGACTCCACGCGGCCCTGTTTCCTCTGCTTTTCAGGTGCCAGTAAGTGATTCTCAGCCAAGGGGCCACCTGCCCGGAAGCCCAGAAAGCCATATGCAGACACACAGCAGAAGAGGGCCTTGCCTGCTTTTCCAGACAGGACTCGGAATCAACCCACCCTGACCTTAGTCCCGGAATCTGTCTCCTGCACACAGAGCAGGTCCCTGTCTCTAGGCCTGGCTTGCAGTGTTGATTTCATCTTCGGCCCCAGCAATTCCAATTACCTGGCATATATCACTTTCACTGTGTGCTAGGGAGAGTGCTGACCCACACTTTAAAGGCTTTCTTTAATGCCTTTCCATCTCATTTAGTGCACACAACAATCTGTAAATTGTACCATTATTATATCAATTTTCCTAGATGAAAGTTTGACTTGCTACGTTACACAGTGTCAGAGCTTTTTATTTATTTATTATTATTATTAATTAATTAATTTATTTATTGGTACCGGAGAGTGAACTCAGGCCCTTGCTGCTTGCAAGGCAGGCGCTGGAACCACTGAGCTAAATCCCCAGCCCTATTTTGGGTTTTTTGAGACAGGGTCTCACTATGTAGTTTAGACTGACCTGGAACTCACTATGTAGCCCAGGCTGGTCTCGAACTCACAGCGATCATTCTGTCTCAGCCTCCCGAGTGCTAGGATTTCAGGCATGTGCCACCACGCCCGGCTGGAGCTGTTTATTTTATTTATTTACTTTTTTCATGGTCCTGGGGACTGAAGCCACGGCTTTCATATTGAGCTACATCCCAAAGCCCTTTTTTATAGTTTAGCATGAGGCAGGGTCTTGCTAAGTCATGAAGTTACCCAGACTAGACTCAAACTTGGGGTCCTCCTGTCTCAGCCTCCCAGAATGCTGGGATTATAAGCATATACCACCATACCTGGCCTGGCTTGAAATTTTTTATCTAAAGTACACTCCTTACTCTCTCAATGTATAATTCACATGCCCCTTTCTGATCTCTCACTGAATTGCTGTGGCACTTCATCGTTTTTAATAGCCTTTGTGGCAGGTTCTGACCAGCTGTTTCCTTCTGTTGCTCCCAGAGCCTGAAGCAGTGCTGAACACACCCAGGCCTCACAAGGGGTTTAGTGGGTGCTGAAAGGGTCTTGGAGTAAAAAGTGCCCAGTGTGTCTTCAGGGCCATGCAAACCCCATTCCCCAGCCATGTCCAGCTCCCCTCTCCAGGGGGAGGGGTTTCTCTTTTGCTGCTTCTGGTTCAAGATCAGATCTGCAAATGCTTCTTGGAGGCCCAGGTAACCCCAGAAGTCCCTGTCAAGACATTCTTGGCCTCTGTTCCATCTTTCCCTCCTCTACTTCAAGTTTGGCCCCTTCCCTGGCTTAACTTTGGAAAATCTACAACTGTACTCACCTGCCATCATCCTAGAAAAATATCTGCACTGTTTATATACCCTGCACGCATGTGATTTCCATATCTCTATTTACATATAATTTGCATGGTCATGGGCACCCAGGTATCATTCTCTGATGGTAACATCCTGGACCTGATACACTTTCTTACATACAAAGTCACACACTTTAGGTTTTCTCTCTCTCTGACTCCCTCCCTCTTTCTCTGTTCCTCTCTCATACTGAGGATGCAATCCTTTTTATTTTTTATTTTGAGGCAGGTGCTCACTAAGTTGTCCAGACTTGGCCTTGAACTTGTGATCTTTCTGCTTCAGGCCCCCCGGGTAGCTGGGATCACAGGTGTGGGCCATGGCTCCTGCCTGGGCTTTAGTTTGTATCTGATGGTGTCCATGGCCTATCAAGCACCAGCAGCCTGCCGTTCTGGGGGTGGAGCTCTTAGGGAGGGAACAGTGAGAAAGAGAATCTTGGGGATTCACAGTTGGAAGCATGGGGTGGGGCGGTGAAAGATAGGAGGCCGGGACAGAGAAGGAGGCAGATATTACCTTCTGTTCATCCAGTCATTCATTCAGTAAAGAGACTGAGCGCTTCCTAGGTGCCAGGAACTGGATTACATGCTGAACATATGCACTCTGTTTTAGTCTGTTCAGCATAACTTTATCTTTGTACATATGTATATGTGTATGTATGTATGTATTGTGCTGGAGATTGAACCCAGAGCCTCAGAACTGCTCAGACAAGCACTCTACCACTGAGCTATACCCCAGCCCTTTTTATTCTGAGACAGGGTCTTGCTAAACTGTCCAGGCTGGCTTTGAAGTTTTGATCCTTCTGCCTTAGCCTCCCGAGTAGCTGTGATTACAGATTTATGCCTCCACACCCTGCTTATCAGCATAGTTTTAGATGGAAAGTACAAACATGAGCCCCCTTCTATAGATGAGGAAACTGAGATTCAGGGAGGTTGAACCACCTAGTAGATGGTGAGGATAGGACTTAGATCCAAGGCCTGCCTGACCTCAGAGCCAGGCAGGGAAGACTTAGCCTTCCCCTCTCTCTTCTGTGAAGCAGAACTTCAGGTAGAAGGAACCTGGATATTTTTTTGTACCAGGGATCAAATTCAGGACCTTGTGATTTTGAGGCAAAGCAGATGGTAACAGCACCACTGAGCTAAATCCCCAGCCCTTCCCCCTAACTTCTTTGATAATCATTTTAATTAGATTAAGCAAGTAAAAGACCACTTATCCGCCTTTTCCTGGCACTCACACTTTTGTGAAACCAGCTTTTTGAGTTGTGGCCTGGTTGGAAGGTTGCTCCCTGGCCTAGTCATCTGTGTCTCCGTTTGCCTAGGAGAGGAAAAGCGGTGGGGTAGAGGAGATAGGAGGCAGTCAGGAGGTTAAAAAGGAACTGAGGAAAGAAAGGGAAAAAGAAGCATGGGCAGGAAATTTCAGTGCCTTTGGACATCAAAAGAGTGGCATGCAAATGCAATGCAAATGTGATGCAAATTATCTTTCTGGCCCCTACCCCACCCTCTCAACAGCTGGAAGAGTATTTTCTCCGACTAGCTGAAGCCTAACTCCAGGCTTGGGGGTTTCCCAAGCGGTGATCTAACTTGACCCCTGCCCAGGTCCTCCCACTGACCGCTGGCCTCGGCTGTTCCCTAGGGGGTAACAAGCTCTCCAGGGCTTCTTTGCGCTCCCTTTCTCTCTCCCTCTCCCTCCCGCCTCCTTCTTCTTCCTCCTTCTCTCTCTCTCTTCCTCCCTTTCTTCCTCCTGTTCCTTTTGCTTCCTCCTTTCGTCTCTCCCTCCCTGTCTCCCACCTCCCTCCCTTCCTCCTCCTTCCTCCTCTCTCTCCCTCCCTTCCTTCCTCCCTCTCCTTCTTCCTTTTTTTCTCTCTCTATCCCTCCCTTCCTCCCTTCTTTCCCTTCCCCCTCCTTCTTACTCCCTCTCCTCTCTCTCTCTCCCTCTCTCTGCTGGCTGAAGCCAGGGCCTTTGCCCTGAGTTGCACCCCAGTCCTTTTTCCTTTTCTCAAACAACATCTGAAACAAGGTCCTGCAGCGTTTCCCAGGCGGGGCTCAGACTTTCTACCTTCCTGCCTCAGCCTCCCAGAGTGCAGGGCCTCTGCCTGCACCGCCCTGCCCAGTTCCAGGCTCCTCTTCTACTTGAACATCAGATCAGCTTCTTTGGCTTCCGCTTCTTCCTGCTGCACATTCCCATTTCCTGTCCTGTCAGGTGGATTGCCAGGGCTGGGAGAAGGGCGGAGAGCAAGACGTTCTAGAAGGCCACCAAGTGACAAGTCCCTTCTAGCTCCTCTGGTCTGCCAGGTGGGCTGCAGGGCACAGAGCATGGGGGTGCAGTGTGGGGGTTGCTGCCTGCCTTGGGGTGTCAGTGAGTGATGCAGACGGAAGGGAGGTAAAGGCCAAGAAGAACTCCCAGGTCGGTTTTGAATCCCTCCTAAGCGCACCTGATGGCACCCTTGCTATCCTGCCCTGCCCCTCTCCGAACTTCCTGCTAGTGCCTACCCCTCACCCATGTGGGTACTGCCCATTTTATCCTCAGTACTTTAGAATCGTACACACACACACACACACTGGAGACTGAACCCAGGGCCTTCGCACTGAACTACATCCCCAGCTCTCTTCTTATTTCTCATTTGGAGACAGGCTCTCACTAAATTGTCCAGGTAGCACTCGAACTTGAAGTCCTGCCTCTGCCTCCTAAGTGCTGAGTTTACAGGTGTGTGCCGCTGTGCCTGGTTATGCATTTAATTTTAGAACAGCATAATAACAACTCTGTCTTCCAATCAAAGTCTTTAACCTCAAAGCCTCTCTTAACTATGAGCTGGACTTTTCTAATTGTGCCTCTGCCAAAGCCCTGGCTCAGCCAAATCTTTCCTGGATTTACAAGTCTACTTCAGACCACATAAACTTCCTAGCTGCAGGCTCTGGACAAGTCTAGGCCCAGTGCGCCCTCTTGTGGTATGCAGGGAGTGTGACCCTGACTTTTGCATCCCTGCCTAAAAAGCTGGAGAGAGGTCTCCTCTCAGAAGCACTGGCCAACAGAGTGGGACCCACAGATGAGGACCAGAATTCCAGGCAAGCCAGAGATGTTCACTTTCAGACTCAGGCCATTGTATAGTCCTCTAGTCCTTGCTCTCCATCAAAGGCTGGACCTCACCACAGAACTCCTAGGAGCTTGGAATGTGATTGCTGTCTGCCGTTGGGAACACACAGTCTGCTGATGCTTGTGGACCAGTGAGCTTGTGGACCTGTGCCCTGTGCCCTAACAGGAAAGTAGAGGGTGCTACAGGAAGCTGCTGTGGGGGACACCTCACCCACATCTGGAGGTAGGTATCAGGAAGGGATATCTAAGCTGAGATCCCCAGCGCGAAGGAGTCAGAGTGATACAAGCAAAGAGAGCAAAGGCCACACACCAAGAGGGAGGGGAAGGTCGAGGTCCCTAAGCAGTACAGGCAGGGACCGAGTCCAAGAAGTGGAAAAGCACGAGAGAGAGTGACGCTGATCCTGCAGGGAGGACCCTGAGGTAGGTGGACATAGTTGCCAACTTTCAGTAGCAGGTGACCTGGGACACAAACCACAGAGAACTGCAGCACAGCCTTGGGTCCCCAGGCTGAGAAGTGCTGGGGAGGAAGGTACTGAGAAGGACCAGTGGAAGAGAGAGGTGGAGAGGGGCGCGGGGTTCTGTTCTTAGGATGAAAAGGAGTTGAATACTCTCAGGGCTAATGGCAAGGAGACAGGAGAGAGAGAGAGAGTAGAAGAGGGAAAGAGGGAACAACTTCCCCAGAGAGGCAGGTCCTTGAGGAAGCGGGAGGGGCTGCGCCTCAGAGGCTGGAGGTGGGAGCAGGGACACTTCCTCCATTGCAGGAAGGACTCCGGAAAGGTCGGAGGGATCGAGAAGCAGAAAACCATCTCATGTATCCCTTTCTGCGTAACAAGGATCTTGTTACAGCAGGACACACGGCAGGGGCCAGGGCCAAGGCAGCGAGACAGTCATGCCAGGGGGTGTGGGCACCACCCCTGAAGGGCACAGAGCCCGGTTTTGCCCTGTTGGGCCTGGGTCTTGAGCATGCTTGTGACCGACCCATCGTCTTTCCCTTGCTGCACTTCTCACCTTGTCTGTGCCCTCTTCCCCCTCACAGCTGTTGTGCAGGGTCCCAGTTGGGATCTCTGTTGCTATCCTGGCTCTCTGCAGGAAACAGCCCGATGGTGTGGTTTGGTTAAAGGGATGCGAGCAGGCCTAAGGGGGCCAGTGCCCAGAGATGGGCCGGAGGAGGAAATAGCGGCATGGGAGCCAAAGGAGAATGGGGGCCCGGGAGGGGTGGGGGTAAAGTCACATGTGTGGCACTGGGCGAGGCGCAGAGACTCTGCCCAGACTCCCCACCCTCAGTGGTTGCACATGGTGTTCCTCACTGGCCAAAGCCAGAGGCTGGAGTGGCTCAGGTGAAACCCATCCAGAGGCTGAGGAGGGTGGAAGGGGATGAGTTTCACCTGTCACTTGCCTGCAGGTGACATTGAGAATAAACTGCAGAATGCTATTGGGTTTCTCAGTGGTCACACAGGAAGCGTTTTATAACACTAAGTGAAGGTAATATGATGGGATTTGGTTAGTGTTTGGTCAGACATCAGCCTGTATGTTGCTGTGGAGCTGTTTTGTAGATGTGCTTCAGCTTTATAATCAGTTGACTTTAAGGCAATTATCCTAGTAATGGCAGTGGGCCTCATCCAATCAGTTGAGGGCTGAGGCACCAATGAATGCAGCATAGCTGGGCACAGTGGTACACATCTGTACACATCTGTAATTCCAGCTAATTGGGAAGCTGAGTGAGGAAGGTTGCAAGTTTGAGCCCAGCCCAGGCAACTTAGTAACTTAGAAAGATCTCTTGAAATGAAAATTTAAGAAAATAAAAAAAAGGACTGGGGATATACTCTGTGCAAAGGCCTTGTGTTCAGTCTGTAGTACCGGGGGGGAAAAGCATCTTTTTATCTACAGCTTCTGTTTCTCTGGAGAGACCTGGCTGATAGCTCAGGAGCATGGGAAAATAGGAAAGTCCACAGACTACCAACTAAGGGTATAAACTGAACCGCCACATGTGAAGGACTACCTGAAGAAATTTACCACAGTTGTGTGCTTGTACCTCACACATTACTACCACTCTTCCTACTTCCACCTAGAGCCTGGCTTGTGAGAGCAAGTCTCAGCAAGTAATTCAACTGCCCAACTGTGGCCAAATGGTGAAAACTTGGGTGAGATACTAGGCGATTAACACTGAGCACCAGAGCTGGGAAGACCTTGACGGCAACCTACCGAGGCCCCTTCTCTTCTCAATGGAGAGGAGGCCTGCAAGGGGGCGACACACCTATGCCACCCAGAGCTGGGACTAAGCCAGCACCCACATTCCTCATCAGCATTGTTAGCCTCGACCCTTGCCCCATTTTATACCAGGCTGCTACTCCACCCTTCCTACCAGGTTCCGTGGAGACTCTGAGGCAGGGCTTCCCCACTGTGGGGCCCCAGTTCCCCCACCTAGGACCTTCCTTGGCTGAGACTGCAGAGCGAGAAGCCTAGAGAAAAGCTCCAGGATGGACTCCCCCAGCAAGGCCCAGCCTGGCCTCTCTAGCTTGCAGAGACACCTGGGAAGTCTGGGCTCCTGTGCTCCCTGGAGGAACCTTGCTCACCTTGGCAAAGCAGACAAGTCAGATAGCTTCTTGGCCTTTTGGCTCAAGTGTAGCGGGGAGTCAGGACCCTGTTCCTTCTTGCCAGCTCTGTCCCAGGGAAGCACCATTACCCTGCCCGGGTTCATCTGCCCCACACCTGTGTCTCCCTCCCATGGGTGGGTTGAGCTCTTGAGGTCCCAGTGGGCAACCTGACAACCCCAAGGTGCTTAAAAGGTAGCGTGGATGGAGTAAGGTAGCCAGGGGTTGGATCCCAGCTTGGTTCTAACTAGCTGACTCGGGCAACCACAGTTTCACAGGTGAGCCACATCTGTTAAATGTCACGGGACCCCTACAAAGAGCCAACAGGCCAATGTACACGAAGGCACTTTGTAAACCATAAAGTGCCACCGAGCAAGGACTGCTGATTATATGACCTCTCCCAGTTTTCACAGGACCACAGGGCTACTGAGGACAACTGGCCACGCCTCACCTCAGAGGTTCTCACCAGCTGCCGCCTGTGTATGTCCTAACCGCTCCTGACTGCTGCAGAGACACGGGGGTCTCAGCAGAACACTGACTGTCACAGTGGCGTTTAAGGCTCTGTGACAGCATGGGGATGAGCTGCAGTGGTGTTGGTTTGTGGCTCCCAGGTGTCTACTTTGCTGGGTATAAAGCCACCCCCAAAGTCTCAAGCTATCTTAGTTCTCACCCTTATACTTCCAAGAGGAGGAAGGGGCAGGGATGTGTGCAGTGAGTGACCAGAGGCCCTTCGATCCAGGCACAGGCAGGCCAGGAGTCAGTAAAATATTCCAAATCATTGAAAATATTAAAAAATTGTTTATTTAAAAGCACCTGTGGACAGTATAGAGCTCGGGGACTCCACTGTCAATGACAGCACACACAAGGCTTGGGTTGGGCCTTCTCCGTGTGTCCCTTTTCTCCTGGAGCAGTAGATGGGGCTCAGGACTGAGGCCCTGGATTGGACAGGAGGGGGAAGGAGAAAAGGCTGGGATGAAGCAGGTCCTGAATCCATAAACACATACCCACCTGCAAAGGTGCCTCCCCAGTGACCTCCACCTATGCCACCTGGGCCACAGCCTGCCAGCAGAGAGGGGCTGCCCTGCTGGCCCTGTCCCTCCCCAAGGCCTTTGAGAAAGATCTGATTGTGCCACCTCCCTCTTCAGGAGCTGAAGCCTTCCTGCCCCCAAAGGCCTCCTGCCTCCACCTTGCTAAACTGTTGTCCTTCAGCCTCAGCCCTCACTCCGTATCTTCCAGTAAGCTGTCCCCGACAAACGCAAGCCACACAGCCTCCTTCCCAAGGCCTCTAGCACCTGCCCAGCAATCCCCATCGCAACCTCTCGTATTAGAAGATGCTTAGGAAGTGAAGAGCCTTCCACATGTGCGGCTTGGCGATCAGTTCCACGGATGAGGCAGTGTCTGCTCTTTCCACTAACACCAGTGACGTGAAAAATGGCTAACACAGGACTCACTGCGCACTTGACACTTCCATAAATTCACCTTGATCTCATAAATTAAATGTTATAGCTGGGACCCAAGAATGAACAGCAAGTAGGCAATAGGACCTGGATGTGAATGATGTCTGGTTCCTGACTTGCTCTTGCTTTGTGCTGGCACTTACTATGGTGTTTCTCTTCAGCGCTGGAGACAGAACCCAAGCCCGGGATATCCTCAGCCATGAAGCTATAGCCTCAGCCTCTTGCCTCATCCTCAGGAGTGCAGAGGTTTCATCTTATCCTTCCTTCCCTAGGAATGCACCGTCCCTGCACCTCCCCTCACTCCTCAAATGGCAGAGCTCACAGTAGGTGCTTTTGAGTTGCTGTCCCCAGACTGCTCGCCGATGGTGCAGGGGAACACTTCTGACACCAGGTGGCAGCATTGGACAAAAAATTCTCTCAGACTTCCATGTCTCGTGCTTGTCAGACAAGTAAAAATTTAAACTTTTATTTCTGGTACAAATGATAAATACTTTGTATTAAAAATCTGGAATTCAAGTTTCCCTCATACTTCATGCTCCCTCCTTACCCCAGAATCTTACAGAAATATTTCTGTTTAGAAGGCAGAGGAGCTGGTGCTGGCTCTGGTGGCGAAGTCCTGGTCTGTGGAAAGGCACAATGGTTGGTCTCAGGGTGGCAGGTTTCTCAGCTGGCTCCACACACAGCCATGGCATGGGCCACAATGGCCCCCACTTTGGGGTAAAGGATCCCCTCGCTGGTGTGGAAAGAGAAGGTGCGGCAGGGCCAGGTCCTTCTAGAAGTGTGTGGTGAGGTGGGTGCCGCAGGCAGAGAGACCCCTCTTAGGGTCTACAGGGTCCCAGAGAGGAATCCTAGGCTGTCACATTTTGGTTACTTGAAAGTGAACACTTCAGGGGTAATGGAGGGTGGGGTACACGTTTAGAGAACTGCGCTGTCCCTCTCTGCCCCCAAGGAAGGCACTGGGTGGGGGTATAGGGGCTGCCTTCATGAGTCACCCTGCTGTGTACCCCCTTTCACAGTCATACCATACAGGGGCCCCAAGGCTTCAAGGCCAGGGGCACGGAAAAGAAGTAAGGCCTCAGGTGGCCAGGGGAGGAGAGGCGGGCCCTGAGCAGCCACCCCCACAGCCGGACTAGAGGTCCTCATCCCAGAGACACAGCTGCCTCTGGGGCACGTAGAAGTCGAAGCTGTAGCTCTTCTGGCAGCTGCGGATGCCGCACTTGTACGGCGCGGGCCGCTCGCGGCTGTGGCAGTACTTCAGCATGCAGGGGTACCAGGCCAGGCTCAGGCTGTAGTGACAGGCACAGGGCTTCCCGTGGTCCCCCACCTGCCTGCAGTGAGGGAGCTCTGCCTGCTCCATGGTCTTGGGTAGAGCCTCAAACACAGAGCTGTCCACACCTGGGGAGAGAGGCAAGGGTGAGAGTGGGAGGGAGGACAGGAGCACCCCAAGAAGGGGTAGCAGCAGCTTTTCCCGGCAGGAAAGCAGCAGCACAAACAACCAACACCAGGGTGCAGGTGAGGGGAGCTGGGGGAGATGGCAGGGGCCTCTTGCGGGCTCTGCTCTGTGACCTTGGGAAGGCACAGCCACCGGGAGATACTGGTGTTGGCCTTGTACCTTAGTTTGAGGTGTGGCCCACCGGGGACAGGGGTGTGAAGAGCATGACCACAGTTCTGCTGGGCACTCCTAAACCCAGCCGTATCCCAGAGAGGGCAGGCATTTCTCTGTGCTTGGCTGGCTGAGTGAAGGGGCTGGTGCTGGGATGGTAACATCTCCCTGTCCCTCCTATATAGGGCCCAAAGGCAGGCGTGGGAGAGGGCTGAAGTCACCCAGGGACAACCCAAAGCTAGAAGGAGTTCCTGAGGATCCTGGGGAGAGATCAGAGGATACTGGCACCTGGGATGGTGTGAAGATGATTTCTGCGAGGCAGCAGGAGATGTGGGCAAGGGAACAGACTGCCTGTGCCCTCTTCCATGACAGGGTCCACCTCTGTGTCCTTGCTAAGGGCAAGGGAGGGGAGTGTCTGGGAGTCTCCCTGAACAGCACTTGGCAGTCTGTCACTCCTGGAGTGGGTCCTTTCATCTGGGTGACTCCTCTTACTGACCGGCTATTTGGGTCCCCCTCTTCCTCCAGGAAGCCTTCCCCAATCTGGCCTGGTTTAGGGGCCCACCACAGAACACCCACGGCTTGTCACCGTGCTGTGCCATACTTTACAGCTCTACCTTAGGGGACCTCTGGGGAGCAGGAACTGGGTGTCTACATCCCTGATCCCGGTCACCCTATCTCTGCAGATCCCGGTCACCCTATCTCTGCAGAGGTTCCATAAATGTCTCTTGAATGAATGAAAGAGCTGCTCAGCCCAGACGACCCCTTCCCTCCTCCACCACCATTTCTTCCTCCCTCTCTCCCTTCTGCCCTGCAGTAGGCAGTGCCCAGCGCTCAGCTGACCTTGCTCCAGCCAGAACCGGACATCCTCCTGGTGGGTGTAGATGGCATCTGTGGCCTCGGCGCACACATTGTGGAGATGGGGGCTCAGCAGGGCCCCCTGGCTGAAGTTCACAGCGATGTCCATGTGCAGCTGTTCTGGGGCCCGCACCTCCTCAGCCTGCCGCACTGCCCGTGGGTTTTTCTGCAGGTTCATGACAGAGCCGCTGGCACCTCGCCTCCTGGTGCTCCCTGCCCATTCCTCCCCTGACCCCCTGGAGCACCTGGCCAGCCTAGGCTGGAATTCAAGAAGCACCCCACCCTGCCCCTCTGCAACCTGCAGAGACTGATGCCCACAAACAGACAGGCCTTTCCAGCTTCTGCCCCAATGGACTACTCTCAAGCTGACCTCTGGGGCCTGCAGCAAGTTCTAAAACCCTGCTGGGAGGCAGAGGTGGGCAGGCCAGGTGAGCTGTGCTGTGATAAATGACCTCTTAGGTCAAGTACTACCCCATATTCAGGAAACAGAGTGTCTCTGGGAAAGGCAGGCAAAAAGGAGGGCCAGGGAGGGCAGGGCAATGCATAGGGCCATGTGCAGGGCAGAGCTGGGTGGGAGGCTAAGGAGGGGGTGGGGGCTTTGGGTCAGGAACTGGCCAGGGCAGGCCCAGGGTGGGGGCTCACCTGCCGCAGCTTGGCCATGGCCTCACTGGGGATGATCTCATTGTGGTGCAGCCGGGTGACAAAGCAGAGAGCCTGGAACTGACTCTGCCCCTTCTCCAGCTCCCCCAGGATCAGGGCTCTGAAGATTTTCACATCCTGAAAGGGAAGGGCAGGAGATGGGAGCCCAGCTCTGGAAGGAGGGGCCTCTGTGCCAGCCCACTGGTGCTCAGCTTGAGCCCTGGGGACTCCTCCCTCTTCTGCCCTGGGACAGTTCATCTTTTCCACGACTTTCCCATGACTTAAAAGATCACACTCCAAATGTTCCAAAGCTTTCTGGAACATTGACAAAGCAAAGCACTAGAGAGGATTCCAAAGAACCCCTTGAAAGTATGAAGCTTCACCTTAAAGACAGCAGCTCTTTTTGCTGGCTGATTTGCTCTCTGCTGATCATTTCCCTAGATGGTGCGTGCCCCCAGCATCCCCCGGATCAGGTCAGGGCTTCTTCCACCAACTGACCAGGGCATCAGGGGGAGGGACTGTTCTTTTTACAAGTCTAGATTCCAACACTTCTCTCTGACATTCTTATTCACTAGATTTGGGGAGAGGCCTCAAAGGGTCCCTGGCGCTTCGGACCAGCCAGGTTCCTGGTCCATTAGGAGTGAGCAGCATTAAGGGCAGAGGTAGCAGGCAGCAGCTGTTCCGCCTTCTGGCCTGAGGGAACTAGGACGGCTCCCCTTCCCTCTTTCCTCTCCACTTCCCCTTTCCCAAGGGGGCACTAATGGCATGATCTCCAGGCCAGGAGCTCCTTCCTGTTATTACTCATTGTAGGAATGGGGAAGCTCAGAGGGGGGCACAGAGAGAAGGGCCATAAAGTGGGGTGGGGCCCCTTCCCCATCTGGTGGCTTCTGGAACCCTCTGCTCCACCCATGGCACCCTCATCCCTATACCCCTCGCTTTCTCACCCATCTCTGTGACTTGGCCATCTCTGCTCCCAGTGAGAAGTCAGCAAGTCCCAGACAGAGGAGTCTGAATCTGCCAAGATCTCTCCTGCCACAAAGCCACCACGGCCTCAGAGACTGTTCACTAGAAGCCACCCTTGAAATGGCACATAAGAGAAGATAGCTGTGGGTAACTAACTGTCCCTCTTTGGCTGAATGTGCCCTGGGCTCCCCACTGAGAATGCCCCATTCATCTGAGAACAGAATCTGAGTGGTTGATTGGATTCTTTATCTAGGCAGAGAGGGTTTATGGTTCCACCTTAAAGCAGTAATGCATCAGCTGGTACCCTAGGCTTTCCCTGCTTCCCCAGGTCTCATTTGTGAAATGGGAAAGCACATTTACCTGACAGGGCTGTGGGGAGGATCAGGTGAGCTGTCTGGAAGGAGGAAGTGCTGAGCATGTGCTAGTGCTGGTGTGTTTTACCGCTGAAGTGACAAGCAAATGTTGCAGATGTCTGGAATGCATGAGAGCCTGGTAGCTCTGAAGTCCCAGCGTGTTTCTGCACTCCTTTAACTTTTAAGGAATTTCTTTTACTGCAAATGATTTCTGGAAAAAATGTGTGGGAATATATAGGCGGCTTTCCAGAAAGGAAACTGAGGCCCAACTGGTGAGAAAGGTTCCATTAGGCTCCTTATGATCCCTGAGACTTGTGAGGAAGATGAATCCAAGCTCAGCATAACCCCTGCCTTCCTCTTGACAGGAAATCCCTTCTTGGATCATGGTGCTGGCATCACCTAGTGCTGCCAGCCTGGGCCATCTGATCTTCCATTCACTCAGGCTAGCTGAGGGGACACTGGAGACTGAGATATTGGTGGCTTATTCCACTCTGGGCTCAATTCCTGAGAGGTGAGACTCGATACCAGACTTCCCCTCTGACAGCTTGAGTCAAGCGGATGTTCCTGGCAGGAACCTTAGGCAGGATCCAAGTGCCACGTCCCTGGTATTTCCAGCTCTGAGCCTATAAAGAAAACCCTATGTAGATATTCCCATCTTCTCCATTAAAGGTAATCCCTGTAGGCTGAGGAGTCTCACCACTTGGTGACATCATCTGCCCACCACTAACAAACGGACAAGGCGTTCGAACTTTTAAACCAGAGGGTGAAAGAAATCTGCTTGAGGTTTTCCCCTGCTTCAATATGAAATACTCATGGCAATGAGAACAACAAAATGCTACCAAAATGAGAACCCAACCGGGGTGCAGAGAGGAAATGAGATTTTTTTTTTTCTGTATCTTTTTGTATAGAACAAAGAGTCACTGAAGTTAATAACTGGGAGGGAGAAATATGGTTATGCTGGGTCAAACAGATGTATCATCCTTGAAAACCCTTGCAACAATAGGAAGAATGGAATTCTGGCCACTGCTGTTGCCTGGATTGGGCAACCTGCTGAAGGTTGTGTGAGCTCAGAGGAAATGTGCAAGGGGTAATCAAAAAAATATGGCGTGTTTAAATAAACATATTTATTACAATAAAAGACACAGTGCCTTTAATCCTCCCTGTGAACACACTTATCGCATTGTTCCTGCCACTTTCTGAAGCAGTTTTGGAAGTACTTTTTTGAAAGCGTCTTCACAAGAAAAAAACATTCGGGTGAATGCCGCTGCTGAATGCCATCCAAAGGACAGGTAGGCTCATGGCAGCATTAGGGTGAGTCCTCATTCACCTTACTCATCCGATCTGGCACCGTATGACTTCTGGCTCTTCCCCAAAGTCAAAGTGGCCATGTAAGGTAAACATTTTGAATCAATTCGGACATGGAGGCAGTCACGACTGCACAGCTGAAGATTTCCTGAATGGCTTCAGAAAGAGGCAAAAGAATGAGGAGATAAAGTGTGTTTGAAGCGAGGGGGAGAACTATGGTGGGAGGAATAATGGCATGTGTCTTTTACTGTAATACATTTTTTTAAAAATTCAACATTTATTGTATCTTTTGATCACACCATGTAGCTTGAGATTTTAAGCCACGCAGTCTAAGTTTGACTCCCAAGACTGATCTCTCTTAACCAGAATACACAACTGCCTCTAGGTTTAATTTCTTTGATGTTCAGCTAAAGAAACACAGGTTCAGACCCACTAAACTACTGTAGTCTCTGTTGGCCACACAGTGAGTGGCACAGGCAGGATTAGAACCAGTTCCTTCTTCCCGAATTCTGTTCCGAATGCTGTGCATTCGGTGTGACTAGCAAACTGCATGATTCACCTAAGAGATGAAGAAACAGCCTTCTAACCTACCCCCTCTGCTTGCCTCGTTCAGAACCTTTTTATACCTTGAATTCTCCAGTTTTTATAGTCCTCTTTCTTCTGAAGACTACTTTCCCCTTGGGAAACTACTGGCCCCAGGGACGGAACAGGCAGTCCTACTCTCTGGATCTAACTCTGATCTCAGGCCCCCATCATCCTGACCTATGTCCCTCCAGCCTTCTACACCCTACATCTCAGACTCACTGGCATGGCTCTATGGGGCCTTTCCTCCAGCACAGAACAAAAGACAGGATAAAGAAGGTTCCCTGCTTCAATCAGGAACATCTGGCCAGATGGTGACCAGGCTCTTGGCCTTTCTCCCTACCCATAAGTTCCCTGGGATGATTTGCCTGGATATGGCCTAAAGCTCAAGGCAGATGGCATAACTGGGCAAGAGCTTCTGTCAGGAACTGCAGGCAGGTACCTCAGGCTCAGGACTTGGGCATGGACTCCCAGGATGGGAGGGTTCCACAAGGCTTCTCTCAGGAGCTCCTGGAAACCTCAAGCCCACCAGGAACTGGAGAGTACAGTAACCAGGGCCAGAGCCTGAGCCATGCACAGGGGAGCAGGCATGCCCCCGAGGGAGCAAGTGTCTCCTGAAGTCCTTGTCTATAGTTGGAAGGAAGGAGCAGCTAGGCTGGAGGACAGCACAGTAGCTAAAAACAAAGGTTCTGGAGCCAGGACTATCTGTAATCAGCTCCTGGTCTTGTCCTTACTAGCCACATTAACAGGGGAATGTACTTCAGCTCTCTGTACCTCAGTTACCACACCTGCAAAATTAGTAAAACAACAGTATCTACTTGAGGCACTGCTGTGAGGGATAAAGTAGTGAAAGGTCTCAGAACATACTTGGCAGGGGCCCCCCTTTCTTCCATGTGGTTGCAATCCCTTCCTCTATGCTTGCCTTGCTCCCACTGTAATTTTCCCAGGCCTGAGAGTGTAAAGATTTTTCTCCTACAGCTGCACCTGAGGCCCATGACCCTGCAGCTTGCAAGCAATCAGCAAGTAAGTGGGAGCCCATCCACTAGCATCACCTGGGGCAGGGAGAGCACAAGCACCAGCTTGTGAAATGACCAAGGCCAAAGCCCCTGTCTTTAGGAGGCTTCTAGAAGAGGCTGACCCTCCAACAACCAAGGTCAGTGCAGCATGAAAAGTCAAGGTTGAAGTTCACGCTGAGTTCCATGGAGCCGAAGGATGGATGAGGGAGCACTTGTTCCCTTAAGGATGGGGCTAGGGTAGAAGGGGGAAGCCCTCCCTGAGTGAGGATGTTTCAGTGGCCCTTGGCAGTGAAAACATAGGGGGCTTTCCGGCAAAGAGAAGGGCATTGACAGAAGACAGGGAGACATGAGGGGCTTCTATTTGTGCTGTCATTTGTGCTTCTAGAGGGTTTAAAGGATCATGTAGTTCGGTAAGGTTCCAGCAGGGGAAATAACTCTGAGGAGTCACATAGTGGCAGGGCCAAGACCAGAAGTCCAGACCTTCACCCCCTCCATACTGTTTGGCCTGTCCACATTCCACCTCTCTCTAGGCCTCTCCTCACAGGGTCATCTTTCTGAGAGTCACTGTGTCACCCACAGAGCAGGATGCTTTGGTTCAACCATGCTGGGGCTTGGGGTAAACACGTAAGCTGTCCCGGGGAGCACTTCAGACAGTACCCTGAACCAAGCCCTTGGGGCTGCCACCCTTGGCAGAAGCTTCAGGAACAGCTTCATGCTGGGGGAAGGGAGAGATCTTGCAGAGAAAGCCCTGTGACCAGCGGCTGCCCTCTACAGCTGCCTACAAACTTATATCCAACTGGAAGAAGTGAAACACACTGCTACTTCAGCCACTGTTGCTTAAGTTTCGTGTTACTCTCAACCAACTCTAACTCTAACCCTTAACACACACACACACACACCTTTCACCTGTTTCTCTACA